CAATAATTCTTTATAAATTTACTTTATTTTTTTAGTTTGAAAAATCACTGAATAAATATATTTTTATTTTAATTAAAATAAATTTTATTAAAAATCTTTTTTAAATGAATTTTTTTTGTAAATATAAGTACTTTTTTGTTATATTTGTTTAACTTTATAGATCTAAATACTTTTTGGTTCAAAAAATGTTTAGGGATTTAATCGTTCAAAATATGAATGTTCGTTGGGTTTTTTTTGGACATTTTTTCACTATTTTACCACATTAACTAGTTGTACAAGTCAAAAGAATGTATCCAACATGTTTTAGAAAAGTCCAAGGAGTTATTTAACAYGTTTTGGATTGTCCAAGGACTTATTTGTTTCAAAAAATTGTCTAATGAGTTATTTAACATGTTTTAAATTGTCCAAGGACTTATTTGTTCCAAAAAATTGTCCAATGAGTTATTTAACATGTTTTGGAATGTCCAATAACTTATTTGTTCCAAAAAATTGTCCAATAATTTAATCTTTCCAAACACTAAAGTTCATTTGGTTCTTTTATACTTTTCCCTTTTTGGAATGATTAAATTATTGGATAATTTTTTGAAATAAATAAATTTTTGGATATTTTAAAACATGTTAAATAATTTCTTAGATTTTCTAAAACCTATTAAATAAATCTTTATAACATATACAACTGGTTAATGTGGTAAAATAAAAGAAAAAGTCTAAAAAAACCAATATATTTTCATATTTTGAACAATTAAGTCTCAACACATTTTTTGAACCAAAAACATACTTACATCAATAAAATAAAACAAATATACTAAAAAAGTAATTAAAATTACTGAAAGATTAACGATAGAATTTAACTAAATATATAATTAATTAAAATTTGTCGCTAATCTGTTGGTGAAATGATATGACTGACAATATTCAAGCACGATCTTTCACACTTATTAACATGTTACTGTGTTAGAGCACATAACTGTGGTAAAGTTACTCATCAATTAGATATAAGTAATTCATGCATATATATCAATAAACACTAGCGACGAATTTTAATTAATTATATATTTAATTAATTTTTATTGTATATGTCAGTAATTTAATCAAATTANAATAGAAGATTAGCTAAAGTGTCTCATTAGATAGTTATCTTCTCATTAGCTGATTAGTATAAATAGGTGATCTGACCTATTGTAAAGAGAGTCGCTTTTACGAGTTGCTTGAATAGCTTTACGTTCTTCTAATAATAAGAGTGAAACCTTTGAAGCTCAAGACTGTTCTTAATTGTTCTTAATTTCCTCTTGAGCGTTCATAACTTTCTTCGTTAAATCACTATAGTTTGGTTATTCTTAACTAGATTATTAGTGTTATTGAGATATCTGGGATCAACACATTCTGACCACTTAATCATTCTGCACCAAACCATTCAGCAATTGCCAAACAGCCCCAATTTGCACTCAATTTTTTCTGCTTAACTTCCTACTTTAACTTCGTGTATGGGGACAATTCTAACTAAGAAATTACAAATGTATTAATTTAGGGAAAAGTTTAAAAAATCTCAATGAACTTTAGTGTTTGGAATGATTAAGTTATTGGACAATTTTTTGAAACAAATAAGTATTTGAACATTGCAAAACCTATGAAATAACTCACTGGACTTTCTAAAACCTGTTAGATACATCCTTATGACTTATACAATTAGTTAATGTGGAAAAATAATGGAAAAAGTCTGAGAAAAAACCAATGGACTTTTGTACTTTGAACGATTAAGTCCCTAAACATTTTTTGAACAAAAAAGTACTTACATCTATAAAATGAAACAAATATACCAAAAAAGTAGTGACATTTACAAAAAAAAATACTTACATTTAAAAAAGATTATTGATGAAATTTATTTTAATTAAAAATGAAATATATTCTGTCAGTGATTTTTTAAATTAAAAAAATAAAAAAATTTAAAAAGAATTAGTGATTAAATTTATTTTAATTACAAATTAAATATATTTCGTATGTGATTTTTCAAATTAAAAAAAAGATTTAAAAAGAATTACTGATGAAATTTATTTTAGTTACAAACAGAATATATTCTGTTGGTGAATTTTCAAATTAAAAAATAGAAAATAATTTGATTAAATTATTGACGGGTTAACGATAAAATTTAACTAAATAGATAATTAATTAAAATTCGGTGAAATGATATCACCGACAAGATTCAAGCACAATCTTTCACACTTATTAACATGTTATAGTGTTAGATTGTCTGATTGTGGTTAAATTAGCCATCAATTAGATGTAAATAATCAATGAATACATACACACTAGTAACGAATTTTAATTAATTATGTATTTGAATTTTATCGTTAATACGTTAGTAATTTAATTAAATTATTTATTATTTTTTTATTTGGAAAATCACTGACATGATATTTTTTATTTTTTATTAAAATAAATTTTATTAATAATATTTTTTAAATATAAGTATTTTTTTTTAAAATGCAAGTACTTTTTTGGTATATTTATTTCATTTTATAGATGTAAGTATTTTTTTTTGTTCAAAACAAAATTTAGGGACTTAATCGTTTAAAATATGAAAGTCCATTGGAGTTTTTTTCAGACTTTTTTCATTATTTTATCACATTAACCAGTTTTGTAGGTTATAAGAATGTATCTATAGAAATTCCAAGAAGTTATTTAATATGTTTTGGAATGTTCAATGACTTATTTGTTCCAAAAAATTGTCCAAGAACTTAATCATTTCAAACAATAAAGTCTGCCGGTTTTTTTTTTTTTAACTTTTCCCTTTCTAAAATTGCACCAATAGCTTACTTATCTTGTCTCTAAAATATCTTTAAATATAGAGAATTTTTAAAACTTGGTAGTAGAAAAGAGAATTGATTATTTTATTTTATTTTATTTTATTAATGAGATTGAGTTATTATTTTGAATTTTTTTTTAAGTATTGATATGATAAATTAAAGAATATTATAATAACATGATATATATTTAAACCTCTAAAATAAAGAATTTGTTGCAGATGAATGTAACTTTTTTAGAAAATTTATGTTTTGATTCTTTATTTTATAAAAATTTATGTTTTGATTCTTTATTTTATAAAAATTATAGAAAAGTTGTTGTAAATGCTTTTAAAGTTTCACTTTGTGCTTTCAATTAATATCAAATTTATACTCATAAATTGTGATCATTCAGATTGAGAATAAAAATCTGTTATCCATAAATTCTCGATTTCTGTCATGTCCATCAATCACGTGAAGTTATATCATCACTTTATTAAAAGGACATTATAAAATGATGAATTAAATATAGTAATATCATGATTCAAGTAATCTGTGTTATGTAGGGGAATGGGATGGGTTTGGAATTCTCAATCTCTATCATCTTCATCAATCAAGTTAAGTTATATCATCACTTTATTCAGAAGGGCGGATAAAATGATAAATTAAATAAATTTATATTAAATAAAATAATAACATGATTCAAGTAATCTATGTTATGCATGGGAATGAGGTGGCGACCCCAATCCCCATCCTCATCTTTGTCCTTGTACATGCTAGAAAATGTGATCATATCTCCGTCCCCAATAGGGACCGGAGATGCCCAACAGGGAATCATGGATTTTTTTCTTGTTTATGTGAGATATTTTAAACCAAATGTGTTAAACAACACACTCAATCAATAAAGGTTCATGTTTAAATCTTATATATTTTTAAAATTTTGCTTTTATATATATCCAACAAAACCACAAACAACATACGTAATTGTTTAATCAAACAATTTTGAATTTCCATGTTTTTTATTAGGCGTGTTCATCGGTTGACACTCGTTGGATGTGAGAGGAACCGAACCGATCCAATCATCCATTAGATATTGGATTTTGCCAACCGATCCAATCCGATTAACATTGGATAACCGATCCAATCTGTTGGTCAGGTTAGAGTCTACAAGATGTCTATAAACAGTTTGTAGAAGGGGGGGGGATGAATACAAACACAGTAATATTTTCAAATTTAAAAAATATATATATATTGATAAAGAAGCATCAAT